AACAACAACTGCCAACGGCACAGCGCTACGGAGTGTTCGAAGCTCCCTGTCCTCTTTAAGCGGGTTTGCGGCCCGCAGTCGCTCGGATCCCTGATAGGGGGGGCAAAGAGAAGGGCCCAGCCCGGGATCGGTAAATGGTGGTAGAGTCTTGTAAAGGCAACTGCTCGACGAGTTCAGAGGGTTGTCTAGGTAAACCTGGTCCGGTGGGTCGTAAATCCAATGCTCGTAGAGTGCTTTGTACACCTTATACCCTTGATAAAGTCTTCGACAGGGACGTCGCAACGTAGCCCGTCGGGAAAGAAGAAAACGTAGCAGCGCTACACCGTCGTACTGCCCGATGGCAAAGTACCAACACCGGATCGGTCGCAACCATATTCCGATGGAACCAACTCTGAGAAAAGCACCACTGGTGCACCAACACAGAAGCCCGATGGCTAATGACGTCACGTTGCGGATCGCAATCCTACAAGGTGGGACCAACTCAAGATTAAGGGAAATTAGGATAGGGAAATAAAGGAAAATTGATAAGGAAAAAGGGGACCTCAGAGCGCAAAGGATACAGTAGGCTAGAGTAGAAGGGAATGTCTTGTAAAAGACGGACTTCGACCAAGGTGATATCAAACTCTGGCAACTCGGGTTACCTTTACTGACTTGGTCGTCAGAGGGCTAAGGTATATATCGCCCCGCCGGAGCCACTACAGTAGCTCTCGGCGCTAGATCGTAGATCTAATCTAATGTTAAATAACTAATATGCAACTAATTAAAATTAATAATTAAAATAATAAAGTGAAATGATTTCCACTTTTGCTTGTCATACCCCATCATTTTCATTTCTTTTCACCCCCCTTTTCAGGTGCGTATTGCACTACACCGGAGCCCCCAAAGGCGTGCAATTCAAGCACGCTAACTTCTCCAACATTCTCCTCACCTCCCCCATGGACCTCGGCATGGCCCACGGCGTGCGCGTGGGTCAGATTCTCAGCATCGCCTTCGACACGAGCGTGGTGTAGTGCAATCCCCGTCTCGGGTACGGGGTGAAAGGAAGTGAGAAAAGGAAAATAATTGGATACTGTGGTCCGGGCTGGAGGACACACGTGTAATTATTAATTTTAATTAGTTGCATATTAGTTATTTAACATTAGATTAGATCTACGATCTAGCGCCGAGAGCTACTGTAGTGGCTCCGGCGGGGCTATATAGCATAGTCCAGTTACCAACCCAAGTGAGTAAAGGTAACCCCAGTTGCCAGAGTTTGATATCACCTTGGTCGAAGTCCGTCTTTTACAAGACATTCCCTTCTACTTTAGCCTATTGTATCCTTTGCGCTCGGAGGTCCCCTTTTTCCTTATCAATTTTCCTTTATTTCCCTATCCTAATTTCCCTTAATCTTGAGTTGGTCCCACCTTGTAGGATTGCGATCCGCAACGTGACGTCATTAGCCATCGGGCTTCTGTGTTGGTGCACCAGTGGTGCTTTTCTCAGAGTTGGTTCCATCGGAATATGGTTGCGACCGATCCGGTGTTGGTACTTTGCCATCGGGCAGTACGACGGTGTAGCGCTGCTACGTTTTCTTCTTTCCCGACGGGCTACGTTGCGACGTCCCTGTCGAAGACTTTATCAAGGGTATAAGGTGTACAAGGCGCTTTTCGAGCACACTGCGGAGGCAAAACCGTGAAAAACAATAAAAAGTATTGTTTTTGGACGATAGTTTTAAAGAAATAACGAAACGTTGTCCAAAAGCAATGTTTTTGACATGGAAAACATTACTATTATTGTCCAAGGACGGTAATTAGATTGCATTAATAACAGTACTATTGTATGTGTGGCGGCAATACATATAGACCTAAGAAACATTCTCAATGTTGTCTATGAACGGTACATCGTCACTTTTTCTGAAACAACAGAAGTTTTGTTTATGAACATTCCAAATATTGTTTAAAAGCGAGGAAATGACTTGCAATCACAAAATTAACTCGTCAAATGTTAACGAGGCGGGTGACAGCATTTATGAGGTTTCCGAGGTGATTCTGATGCGGAAACGCAAGAGGCGAAAACTGGACTTGCTAAAAGCAATGCCTAGTGCCAATCGTCTCTTATTTACAGACGATGGTAAGGCCGTCAGAGCGTCTGACATGGGGAACGATAATGAAGACTCATCAGATGAGGAAGACCTTCATGGTATATCTGACTACGCAATGACCGTGTCATCCCGTTTGACCCAGAGTGTCGGCGCAGGGTGGGGTGCGTTGATGTCTTCACATGTGCGGCTTGTCGGGCCTCAACGCGTGATGGAGGGGTCCAAGCTGGAGGCTCGTGTTGATGGAGTGCCACTGGATGTTGTGAAGAGTTTATCGTCCAACTGCGAGAAGCGAACAGGGGAGCAGTCTGAGAAGAGTGCTCCTGAGGTTTGCGTGATTGCGTATGGGGTACCGTGGAATGCGTCCCTGTATGACGATGGACAACCGCATCTGCTCACCATTCATTCAGCTTCGCAGCGGCATGCTTCGCACCCGTTTTCGTTTAACGGGGTGCCTGAGACTGGGATGAAGGCGAGAGTGATACGATTATTGTCTGCTTTGTTTTCGCTTTCTGACTTCGAAGCAATGTCGCCCAAGTTATGTTCTCTAGGCTTTCTCTTTACTTTTGCGTTTTGCATTCCTGGTTTGCTGCGAAAAAGAGCAGCGACGTTTGTTCTGTTTACCATGGCAGCGCTTCTGAGGTTCGGGCCTGCCTTTATAGTGACCTATCAGCTCAGAGAGGCTGATGCCGGTCTGGGGATGGCAGGACTGAAATCAGTGTGGTTGCCGTCTTCCTTTCATCCATCGGGCGTGGATTTACCGTATATGTTATCTGTAACCGTGTTGTTTGGGAGCTTGGTTCCTGTATCGTTTTTGGTAACAGTAGGTACAGCAGGGCGGAAATCTGGGTCAACCGTGCAGTGCTGTCGTATCACATGCGGAGTGCCACCGCAGTAGCATCCCGTCGCCGTTTCTTGTGCGGAGTGCCACCGGAGTGGCCTTCCCTCATCTCTTCATAGCTCGTCGAATTTCGCAAGTCGGGCGCCGTTATTCTTCGTCTGCAAGAAGCCCACTGGCTGGTGGACCGTGATCCGAAGAGCGCCGTCAGGTGGATGGCCGTCAGCTAATAATCCTTTGCGTGCGGCAAGACCGAGGTCGCGCGCCGGTTTCTGCACGAGGCTACTGCGCTGGACGCAGGCTTGGCACCAGCGTGCGTCGCCGTGGGACATGCGTGCGGCCTCGACCTCGATGTTTCACTAAGCCGCGACGCTCCATCGTGCGCCGCACGCTCTCCATCCTCGTCGTCTGCTGCCTGCTCTACTCTAGCGTCCTTTCCCCCCGCGCGCACCATGCAACACCCCCCCGCCCCCGCCACCTCACCGCCGCCCTATCCCCCGCCAGCCACCACCCGGCCACGATCCCCCACACGTGCGTGGTCACCCGCCGTCCAAAAACCGTCCAAGACACAACGCCCTGTGCCGCCTGGGCCTGGCGGATGCGCTGCTTGACATCGACGCTCAGGTGATCCGCGGCTACGCCCTCTTCCTGGGCCCGCGCGCCGAGCGCCTGCCGTACCACCAGCCTTCCAGAACAACTAACTGGTCGTATACCTGCTGGCCATCGCGGCCGACTGGCTGCAGGGGCCCTACGTCTACGCGCTGTACGCCGCGTACGGCTACGGGAAGGAGATCGCCCAGCTCTTTATCGCCGGCTTTGGCTCGTCCGCCATCTTCGGCACTTTTATCGGCTCCATCGCCGACAAGTATGGCCGCAAGTTTAACGTCCTAGTCTTCGTCATCACGTACGCCCTGTCCGGCATGACCAAGCACTCGCCGAACTTTGCTACCTTGATGGTCGGCAGGCTGCTGGCGGGCATTGCTACCAGCATCCTCTTCTCGGCCTTTGAGTCGTGGCTTGTGTCGGAGCATAACAACCGCGGCTTTGATCCCAACCTCATCGCCGACACTTTTTCAAAGGCCCAGTTTGGGAATGCTGTCGTCGCCATTGTCGCAGGCCAGATTGCTGGCATGGTCGCTGCCCAGTTTGGAAAGGTCGCCCCGTTTGATACGGCCGCTGTCATCCTCGCCGCCACGGGCCTCATTGTCATGTTGTCCTGGTCCGAAAACTTTGGCGATAGTAGGCAGACCGTCACCGGCGGCTTGCGCAGTGCCTGGCATATGATGATTGCCGATGAGAAGATCTTGCTTGTCGGCATCATTCAGTCCTGCTTTGAGTCTGCCATGTATCTCATGGTCTTCAGTTGGACCCCGGCGCTACAGGCCGCGTCGCATGCCATGTCACTTGGCGAGATTCCGCATGGCATGATCTTTAGTTCCTTCATGGTTTGCTTCATAATTGGAAGCATTTTATTCGTCTTTCTTATGAAGACACAACCCGCTGAGCTATTCATGCGCAATATGTACATCATAGGCGTCGTTTGCTTTGTCGTCACCACCATATAATCCAATGTATGGGAGGTGTACGGCGCTCTGCTTGCGTTTGAGGTCATTTGCGGTTTGTACTTTCCGGCTATGGGTACCATGCGAGCAAAGTATGTTCCCGAGGTCACCCGATCCGCCATTATGAACTACTTTCGTCTTCCTTTGAATCTCATAGTCTGCCTCATTCTGTACAAAAACTATGAGAATACCACCGTCTTCTGCCTGTGTGCCGTCATGATGGCCATTGCCGTCATATGCCAACAGCGCCTTTTCAGTGCTTCAAAAGTCTCCATCGGCACCAAAGATGAATGGACTACAGAAGAGCGCGCCGAACTCGTCGAAGAGGGCGATAGCACTGTTTAAGATGCTGTGCGGTAAATCAACTTGCCCGCCTACCCCCCCCCACACCCATACTATCGTGGGCTTCACCTGGCGAAACATGCGCTGCTTCTGAGACAGCTCTGTGGCAAAAAAAGGCTCGCCACAATGCTCGGAATTTAGAGATGCGAGTTGGTAGTACGCAGTAGAACAGTGGAGTGTAATGTTGTATTGCATTGAATGTGTTTCAGCCCGATGGATAAAACGGCCCGTGTTAGAATCAGTCATTGAGAGGTCTGACATCTATCAGTGCGAGTATGGTGCGTCCCAAGCGTTTTCCCAGCACGCTCCAGAGCAGCACGCTGTTCTTCATGCAAGGTTGCGGAGAATTTGTCTCTCTGTAAAGAGCTCTCCTCGCTTTGCGTCTAAAGTCTTCAATGCCTGCCAGTTGACTTTTGTTGCCAGCTTTGATTCGCGTGCAATGCGCCTTTCGAAATCCAGATAATCAAGCCACAAGTCCACATTTGTGTTCGCCGATTGCAAAGCCGTTGCTGCTTTAAAAAGTTTTCTTGTTTGGAAAGGGAGCTGAAGCACGTCTGCACCAGATAGTTGTCCCTGACTCTGCATGCGGTCATAATTTTTCATTTGAGACCGGATGGCCGAGTGTAATGACTTCAATGTGAGCGGGGGCAGGGAAAGCATGGTATCGCAAATGCCCTGCAACTGTTTCAGATTGCCCTCTGAAGATAACCATGCGCAGAGAGCTCTCTCCTCATCGCGCCCTCGAAAGGGGATGAGAACCTTGGCCGTCAACACATCGTGCGATTTTCTTGACAAGGGACAAGTTTTTGATTCTAGCATGTTCGCAAAGTGGTTCATAGACCAGGTCTGACGGTCTTTGGGATCCACACCGTCGGGGCCTTCCGTTCCGCTACTAGAAAAATCACCACTGAAAACTTTTCCAGACTTGATGAGGACAAGCACTTTCTTGGCGAGGGAAGTAGCTGCCTGGTGCTGTTCGCAAGTGCTGATAAGGGCGATTAGGTTTTCCCAAACTGTTGGTAGTGGGTTGGTGGGAGTAAGGGAATGGGATGGGGTAGTGGAAGGTTGGCCGGCCGGCGCAGGCACGGGAGGGAGAAATTGGAACAATTTATTCCGAATGTTGTTGGAATGGAGACTGATCTTGAGTCGAGCACGAGAGGCGTTTCGGCAAAACCTTCGGCCCTCGAAACGGCACTCGGCGTCGACATGCAAGAGACGGGCTCCCTCGCCCCCCCCGCGGCGTCAACGCGAGCGGATAGGACGAACAAGTACCACGCGCACTACTCTACGACGCGCATCTACACTACGATAGTCCCCAAACGCGGGCCTTCCCTCCCCTGGCCCTCCGCGCGGTAATCACGTGAGCAAGTCGACGATCTGGTCGACGACGGCGACAAGAAACGGGGGCGTCTTCTGCGCGATAGGGACGACGACATCGACGACCTGGTCCACAAGCGACGGATGTCCGGGCTCGAGCACCTCCCTCGCGAAGCAAAGCACGAAGCCGAGCGCGGCGGCGCGACCATTGACGCTCTCGGCGGCGTTCCAAAAGGAGCGCGCCGGCCTGACGGCGGCGCGGCCATCGCCTGCGGCGGGGGTGGAAGCGTCGACGGCGGGCGCGACCGTGCGCGCAGGCGGGGCTCGCTTGTGCGGCGGGGCGTTGGCGATCTCGGCGAAGGCGGTGGCGAGCAGCTCGCGGCGCTGGAGGCCGGGCAGGGTGACGAAGTCGTCGTGGGAGAGGCGCGCGGCCGAGGCGATGCGCTCGTTGTCCAGCTGTGCCACGGCGCGTGCGCGCAGCCCGTCCAGCTGGGCCACGGGGTCGGGCCACTGGGTCGGGCAGCGGGCACGCGGCGGCGGGCGCAGGCGGCGCGACGCGCGGCGCGACGCGCGCAGCAGCAGCAGGCGCAGGCGGCGCGCTAGGAGCGGCAGCGAGACGCGCGCGCGCGGCGGCAGAAGTGTGTTGAAGGCCAGCGTCACCGACACGGACACCACCGCCAGCACGCCCGCCAAGACCGGCGGCGGCAGTGCGAAGGCCGGCGCGGGCGCGCAGCGCCGGCACATCGGCCCCGGGGGTGGCGCGCGCGGGCGGCACAGCGTGCGAATGGTGGAAGTGGCGGGCATGGTAGAAGCTGTCTTTTCAATCAACTCATACATACTTCTGAAAACTGTTTTCCCGCGAAACAGTTAAGTGATCTGCACAAAAAGTCGCAGTTCGAGTTTGCCGCGCTTCCCAACGTGATGGGCAATTCTTTCAGGCGGTATGTACGGCGTTTTACGCATAGTGGTTCCGAAAACATCCCTTCAACTTCGAAGGCACTCCTCACACCCCAGGAAAACATTTCGACTTCCGAACGCACCACTTGTCCTCCTCCATCAAATCTGCGATCTTCGTTACCCCCTCGCGCGAAATCAGCCGTTCTCGCATCTCACCGACCTCCTTCTCCAGACACGTCGTCGCCTCCTTCATCACCGCGCCAACCTCTTCACACTACAGAACCTTCTTCCCTTCAATCACACACACCAGCGTCTTCGGGTGCAGATAAGACACGGCGGAGATCTTCCCGTTTGCGATTTCGGACAGATTCTGTGGGACCTTCATTCCAAGTCATAGCTTCGCCATCATCCAGCCCCCAAAAAGAAGCACAAGGAAACATGGGTCTGCGACGTACAGTGTCCGCGCATAAGAGGCGTCCATTGCCATTACAGGCCAGAATTGGAAGCGCCGAGAAGCGTCGAAGACTAAGACCCTCTCAGACTGAGGCCACACGTTCGAACCCTACTGCGCGGGTACCCCTGTCGAATTCATCTGCGCTTGAGAGCACCGAGTTACAGCCTGCCGCACGTTCGAACCCTACCTTGCACCCACCCCGATCGAATTCATCCGCGCTTGAGAGCACTGAGTTGCAGCGATCCATAGTGGCAATGCACAAGAGGTTGGCAGAAGAGCTGGCCAGCTGCAATGCCACATTATCGGACCTAGTGAAAAGCAATGCCAATACGGCGTCCAGTTTAGAGGACATCAAACTCCTCATTCTTCAAAGCTCTGCAGGTAGTTCGCGAATACCATCTCGATCAAGGGTGCAGGGAGGGTCTCGAAAAGGTGCAACTAAGAACCTGGAAAAGGACGTTCTCAAAGACAACCCCACAGTTATTATCGAAATCAATGCCGCAGTGAACGCGGATACCGTGTCAAGATCGCTTGCACAGACTCTCTCTTCGTTTATGGATGTCTATCACAATAACCAGGATGACCCCCGGATGACATTGCGTGTCGTCAGCGTCCTCTTGTTCGGGCTCAAACATAACAAATCTCGTTCAGAATTCAAACACGGACTGGGCAAAAAGCATGCAAGTTTTCGCTTCAGTACAGCCAAACGTGCGGTGATGAACGCAAGAAATCTCTCCGACGAAAGTATACGAGCATATGCGGCAGAATTTACAACAACCAAAGCCTTTATTGATAGGGATGCTGACCGCAATGGAATTGATGTTTATGTTTCTACGAAGCCTTCTTGGCTGCAACCAGGTGTTTTGGACAAGCAAACGCTGCACACCGCGCGAATGCATCACGAGTGCGTGAAGGCCGAGTTACCTCCGGATCCCTCCTGCCCGGCTAGGCGCAAACATCTGTTCATATGCAAGAGGATCGTCACTATTATTAACGACTGTTTGAGAATCTCTCGGGATCGCTCAAAGGTCAAAATGTTCGAGAGCGGCCTCTTTCTACTGGTTAACTGGAGTGAATATGACTCTTTCCATCGCTCTCACTCGTCACCCACCTTTCGATTTTTGCACAGTGATGCGGAATCCGTCCCCGCTTCCGAGATCCCTGACACTACTGTAGGGTGGGATACACACACATCCGTCACCAATCGGAAGCTTCTGGCTGCTCTTATATGGGAAAGCAAAGACCTGGTGATACAGGCGACTTATCAGGTCACCGTCACTGGTGGTTCGAACGGCGAAAACCGTGTCACAGAGATCAAGCGCAACATTAACATCTTGCGAATTGCTCTGCGCTTCGTCTGCGCCTATTGCCATTGTGGTGAGGAAATGACTCTTGGATCACATGGGTCAATGCTTCGAACAGTCTATCGGATTGCTCGGTTTCTGAGGCAATTGTTCTCTGTTCGGGCGAACTACAATCTTTCAGGTACAACGGCAACGCATGATGAGGCAACAGCTGTCAGTGGTGACGTGACAAGTGAGAGGAGCCAATCTTTGATACCCGAAATCACGCTGCGAGAGATGTTACCGGGTAGATCGGAGAAAGAGAAGGTTATCAGTGGGGCGTTGAAAATCTCCAAAGAGACATTCGCCAGATTAAACATTTCTGCACCGCAAGACATTGACAGCAGCGAAAGCGCTGTGCTAAGCGGCACCAATGAGTGGAGACATCAAACAGAAGATTTGGAAGATGATTTCGACAGTGACGATGATGATATGGCGGGAATGCTAGACTAACATTTCTGCCCTGATAGGTTACGTAAAGTTCGGATTTGCACGACCAGTGTCAAGACGGGTTCAGCAGTACGCGCTAAGCTGCATGCCAACAATTGCACGCCTTCACTATCAGAAGCTGCAGTATTAGAGCAGGTGAAAAAGTCGGAGCTCGTTCTAGTGGAGGACATCACTCGGGAAATCGCATGAGGGGCGCGATCAGCATTCGAAAAAATCATTTCGGCTGCTCATGTCGGCAAGAGTGAACAGGGCGGAACCGATATAGTTTATCCTACCTCCATAGTCACCCAATGAATGAACGAATTGCACCACCATGTATCCCCCAACTTTTTCCGAGCAGCATCTCACTCGTTCAAACCGAAGAGCATGTCCAAGCATGACCCATTCTTCGGTCTTAACAGTCTCCCTAACCCGGATCTCCGCCTCCTCCAGCTTAGACGGGTCCAACAGGACCTCGCTAAGCACCCTGAAAGCAAAGTCCGTGACGCTATGAAACTCGTCCGGGCATCCCTTGACGCCGCGCATGGCGTCCTTCGTGACAGCGGCGTGGTTGCGGCAGATGGCGTTGGCGGCCTGCTTACGGTGTTGGGCGCCCTCATGGCCATCGTTGAGCACGTGCTTGCTGCGGGCCGTCTCGACGGCCAGCGACACCGGGCTCCGCGTGCGCAGGAAGGACACCGGACCGATCTGCGGTGGCAGGGCGCCGATGTGGGTTCAGTCGTCGCTCTGCAGGTACGTGGCGGGCTCCCAGGCGTCCCGCGCGGCAAACCAGCGGCGTAGGTTCGGGCGGCCGTCGGCTAGCTCCAGGTTGCACCAGAACTTGAGAGAGGAGTGCGCGCGCTCGAAGATCGTGGCTGGGGAGGAAGGGGTGTTAGGATCAGGCGGGCATTGTTTGGAGAAGCAAAAAAAGCGAGGACAAAGGTGATGAGGACTTACAGAGATGTCGACGAACGAGGGCTCCGGGCCCGGGTAAAAGAAGGAGCCCTCAAAGTCGCCGAGGCAGGTCTCGATGAGATCGAGGGTGTGGTTGACCGGTTCCAGGCCTCTCCCGGGGCTAGACATGGCGCCTCGCAGGGCGCCGAGCCACGAGCCGGTGAAGACGCGCTCGCGGCGCATGTAGCGGTGAAAGGCCTGCATCATGTCGTTATCATCGACCGGAATCATCTGGCGGTACGGTGTCTGAAACGTGTCCTCCAGCAAGAACATGATATCCATGGACACAAATTACAGTGAATGTACACAAAAATGGTGATTTGTGTCCACACTTTTTGTGTATTTTGGGTTTCAGGAGGCGCCCATTATTGGGCGACTCCGAAAAACATAAATTGTGTACACACAAATTTCCTTGTGTATGTGTGTCGTATTTTGTGCCTTGGCACGGAAATGCATGTGAACAAAAATTTGTGTAAGACACATTTAATGCCAATTCACCCTCAGTGAGGTGTCAGCACACCGGCGGACGGATTGCGGTACCCCCTTCACGCCCTATCCTATGATACTGACGAAGGAGCCGCTGGCTTGGGGACAAATATCGGGTGCCGGCTCCTCGTCGGAGTCGGCAACATGAGCCATGTAGACGTTGGGCTGCGGGGTTGGACAGCGGCTGATACGACGGAGGGAAAATGTGGAGGGAGGCCAGATCGAAATAGGAATGAGGTTGCCGAGGGGTGGGATGGGTTGATCGGACAGATCGCAGAGAAATATTTGAGCACATGGTATGATATAGGGTGGCATAGGTGGGTGCGGATGTGCGTTTGTGTCTTTGCACAAACAATTACATCGGGAGGGGAACGAAGAGCGAATCGGCAGTTTGTGTATGTACAAACACCTCCGACTCAATCAAAATCGGCGGATTTGCGCATACACAAAAAGTGTTTTTATGTTTTTCGGAGTCGCCCATTTCTTCGATGACATTGCGTCGCAGAAAGTCAACAAAAGATTGCCAAGGCCGTGCAATAATTTGTTTGCCAAAGAAGCATGTTGAAATCGTTAGCTGGATACCCTCTCCAGAAGAGCGCGACTTCTATGCAGCCTTGCATGACTGCACCAAGACCCAGTTTGATACATCTGTCAGAGAAGGCAAAGTCATGAAGAACTACGCATCTATTCTTGAATTGCTGCTCAGGTTGCGCCAAGCTTGCGATCATCCGTACCTGGTATTCGCTGCAGCGCCCAGTAAGGATTCAGTCGTAATGAAGGACAGGGACAAACTTTTCAAACAATTTTTGCAAGCGGGGTCCTCATCCCAATTTGTTGAGAAGATATTTAACGACGCTGAGTCTGGCACACTGCAGAGGTCTAAGGAGTGTCCACTTTGCTTGGATGTGATTGATGGTGCTGTTGCACCGAGAGAATGCGGCCATCCGGCTTGTAGAAGTTGCTTGTTAGAATGCGTGCAGCGGACCAAGAGGTGCCCTGTCTGCAGAGCTGACATTACCTTCGAGAGCATTGCTACGCTGCCAAGGGCTACTAGATTTTCAGTGGATCTCAAGACGAGATGGAGATCCAGCGCTAAAGTAGACGCGTTACTGAAGGACCTTGCCGAAATACAAACTCTCCGAAAACAGAATGGCGCTGAGGGAGTCGGAAAGACAGTCGTTTTCTCTCAATTTACGAGCATGCTAGATCTCGTCTGGATGGCTCTCGACAGAGCGAAAATTAAGTCTCTCCGTATCGATGGATCTGTTCCTCAAGCTCAGAGAGCAACAATTTTGGAGCGTTTTGAGAACGAGAAAGAGTTATCATTGTCCACTTCAAATGTCTTGCTTGTATCCCTTCGGGCGGGCGGCGTTGGTCTAAACCTTTGTGCTGCATCATGTGCCATCCTCTTAGATATTCACTGGAACCCTCAAGTCGATGCGCAAGCACAGGATCGTGTGCATAGGCACGGGCAAACCAGAGATGTGGTCATCAAGAGGTATATCGTGAATGGGTCGGTGGAGGAACAACTCCTAAAAGTACAAAAAAGGAAGCAGGATATCGCAGATGGAGCCCTCGGAGCAGCTACCGAGAAAGACAAGAAGCAGGCTAGGTTGACCGAGCTCAAGCTTTTATTCGCCGAGGCCTAAATTGTCGCTGCAGCTGTTTCGCCGGCACTCTGCTTGCCACGAACGCCTTGGTTCTTACTGAGATCAGTCTTCCTTTTTTGCTAGAGCGTTGAATGAAATCATCACACTCACTGAACAGGCAATGAAGAGCGGTACACATGACGGACTGATGAGTACAGCCAGAATGCCATGTGCTCCAACAACCTCTAAACACCACGAAAGACTTTTCAATAAGCAAAAAGGGGACCAAAACTCGCGCAACGGTTGACCGCTGCAAGATTGTAGCCTGCCGTGATGACATCACAGCTAGGTAAATACTACGATTGCACCCCTAGTCCCCTGATCACACTGAGGTTGCCCTACGAACGCCTACAGTAGGGTTGCTAGGGACGAGAGGGCTCGAAGGATGGCGATAACTCCTCGCAGTTGATCCCAGCTGGCATCATGTCCAACCGCCAACTTCTGGCTACTTCTCCAGTTAGTAATACCTCGCACAAGATTGTCGACATGCTCGACAAGCTCATCTGCAGCGCTTCCACAATTCCACACTGTTCCACTCCGGCTAGCGTTGGTAAAAAACTGACCTCCGGCATACGTACGTTGAAGGTGTCGGACTCTTCATCGCTCTGGTAAACAAGGCATGGACGGAGACTGCTCCGTCGCGGGTAACCCGGGCAAATTGGCCGTGAAAATGGTCCTCGGCCCATTCAAGAACGTCCACAACAACTACTCTTTCGCTCCCGCCTACCCGAACCACCAAGCCGCCCCTCCACCTCATCAACAGTCTCCCCCGGTCCATACACCTGCATATCCGCCCCGCCAACCCCAGCCGTACGCACACCAACCTCATTCCCAACAGTATCCACCCCACGATCAGACGTACCACCCGCACGCCTCGCAGTAAGAGCCCAGCTCGCATCATGTCCAACCGCCAGGATATCCCAGCGTCGGAGGAGCTCCATGTCATAACATGTAAGAGCTCAACCACAAAAAAAATACCAAATGGCATTGCACTGAATCATTTAACGCGTTTGTACTGAAACGTTCGACAACTTTTTGAAGTCTCTGAGACTTTCACAATTCATAGATGTGTCTACGACGACATACGTGACTAGGTGCTCATGTGTGGTTGACCTTTTGTACAAAATACGTGCGTCAAGTACTCATCTGTAACCAAATAGCTGACTTCGGACACGGCCTGAAAGCCTCTAATAATGAAGTAGGGGAGCTCAACTTCGAGAGACCCGCAAACGTGTTCAGAAACGGATGTAGCTGTACTCCAGAATCGACTGTTCGGGGGAACCATCGGACGCCACCGGAAAGAGAAAGTTTTCAACTCCGAGAAAACAGTCTTTACAGCCTCGTCCTCCGACACCTCGCTCGGTGTGGCTGAAAGCCTTGCCGCGAAAACCTTGCTTACAAGGTCAACTGCTTGAAGTGATGAACGTGAGAGAGGGTGAGTGTACGACATACTTCGAAAATCGAAATCTCGGCTCTTTCGGACAAGGGCATCGACCGTCGCCTTGCAACGAACGTATGGCATACATGTTCCCACCAGCAGTGCCGCCGCCGAATTCTCATCGGTCTCATCTGTGACATACAGCCCCATAATGCGAATTGCTTCATGCACGGTTCCTTCTTTTCCTCCTCCTTTCCTCCGTTGCACAATATTTCTCATGTCCGCGACAGAGTTTATGCCAATAACTGTGCACAAATCTTTGCATGATGGGAAAATTATCTCTGCGAGCTCGGTGCACGCTGCGAGAGACTGGGTTTCCTGGAACGAGGGCTTGAACTGGGCAGAATCGGACAACGAATGAACAGCGCGGGCCAAGTTCTCATACTCTTCCAAGGTGCAGTCTACCACTGAACGAATGCTTCCGGTAGAGCTCTCTTCGTAGTGTGTGTCCTGCTCCGTATCCCCTTGTCGCGGTTTGAAGTTTGGTACCGGCTTCTGGATGAGTACCAATGTTTTCTGTCTCAAAGTATTTAGGAGACGTGCACATTGCCGTTCTGCCGTTGATCCAGACCCGATCCGAGAAAAGAATTGAAACTGGCCAACAACCATGCGCTCGATTTCTTCAACTCGAGATAAAAGCGTAGCCACTTTCCCCTCCACGCTATACATTCGCAAATTTTGTACCGCCTCCCCATCACCAACTCCATTTTCGCTCTGGCGAATAAAATTTTCTCCGTCTGTTTCATAGCTCACCTGTCCTGAGCACTCATAATAACGCCACCACAACTGAGTGGCGTCATCTTCCACCAAGCGAATATAATCAGGAAGAATCCACACCATCGCTTGTTGCTCATCGAACCCCTCCCTTGCCACGTATTTCAGTTTCCCTTTCACTCTTCCCTCGACCACTTCCTTAGTTACTAACTCTGCCCGCCACCAGACGGATGCAAGCGTTCTCTCACCTCGCCTTCGTCCTTCCCCTTTGATTAATTCGATGTCCCAGAGGACCTCAATTAGTATCCCAGGTACCAGAGACTGCATTTCGGTACAGTAGTCTGAGCCTTGGGAAAGGCTTCCTGTCACTATGAATTCGTCATGAAAAAGCACGCTCGTCTTTTTTTACACGTGGCAGGCAAGACCCCCAAGTTTTGTTTCCCGAAGTCTCCAAAGGACAAACGGGGCTTCGTCCCGTCCTTTCTCTCCGCAACCAGATTCCGAAGTCGTGCACAACCCTGCCGACTTACCCCAAATACCACGCACATCCCCCGCCATGGTCGAGCAAAAAGAAGTCATCCGCCCACCCCCTGATGTGTATCTGATCGACCCTCCTCCGCCCCCTTCACCGTCCCCTCTGCCTACCGCGCCCCGCGCCCCGTCCTCTCATCTCAACTCGCAAGACTTCATCTTCGATCTCGGGTCGTCCACATTGTGGCCGCCTTCTCAGGCTCCTCCATGCCAATCTTACAAACCCCACCGTATGTCGCCCGCATGCGTCATGCTATGATGCCGAGTGGAAGAAAATTAGAGAGGAACCAGATAACTTTGACGAAGTGTCAAAGACAGTCAAGGTGGAAACTGGGGAGGCGAGTGATGAGCCGGCGACGAGCGCGGAGGAGCAGGCGAGAATTGATAATGGGAGGAGGTTGAAGAAGTTAATGCAGGATAAAAAGAATTCAAGAGCCGGCGGAAGGGATAAGGATGTGTCGGGGACAGAAGCAGAGCCGGTGGACACGGTGGAAGATGTCAAGAGCCGGCGGAAGGTATAAGGATGTGTCGGGGACAGAGGCAGAGCCAGTGGATACATCGTATACACTGGAGGAGGTTGTGTATTGAAGATATGAGGGATATAGATGAGGACAAGTACTACATTTCCATGTGCGTCGGACAGTGGGAATCGTCGACAGCGCTGAACCAAGAGATCGACAAGCGGCAGC